TATCGGATGCCCTTTGCCTTTGGCATATGGGTGAAGTCTGTTTACGAGTCCTGTCCTGGATACTTTTCTATTCTTTGCGTTTCAGGAGGGAGGAACCGTTTCTTAATGGAATTATTTTTAAGCCACACTATTTGACTCTTTTTAGTTAAGTTACCGTGTCCGGAATTGGTGGGTTCTTGGTCTCGCCGACTTCAAAAATGAAGCCGTGGACGCTCGCAGTGAGTGTTACAGTTCTTAAAGATGGTGCGTCCGGAGTTTATTCCTTCAGATGTTCAGATGTGTCTGGAGTTTCTTCCTTCTGGTGGGTTTGTGGCCTCGCCGACTTCAGGAGTGAAACTGCAGACCTTTGCGGTGTTACAGCTCTCAAAGGCAGTACCTCTGGAGGTGTTCATTTTTTCCAGTGGGTTCATGCTCGCTGGCTTCACAAGTGAAGCTGCAGACCTTCCTGGTGAGTGTTACAGCTCTTAAAGGCAGGGCAGAGCCAGAGCCAGAGTGAGCAGCAAGATTACAAACAGAGAAAGAACAAAGCTTCCACAACAGGGAAGTGGACCTGAGCAGCTTTCCACTGCTGGCTGGGGCAGCCTGCTTTTATTCCCTTATCTGACTCCACCCAAATCCTGCTGATTGGTCCACTTCACAACGAGCTGATTGGTCCGTTTTGACAGAGTGCTGATTGGTGCATCCACAAACCCCGAGCTAGGCACAGAGTGCTAATTGGTGCATATAAACCAAACAAAAATCCAACAAAAAAAAAAAAAACCCGAGCTAGGCACAGAGTGCTAATTGGTGCATATACAAACCTCCAGCTAGACATAAAAGTTCTCCAAGTCCCCAGGGGACTCAGGAGCCCAGCTGGCTTCACCTAGTAGATCCCGCCCCAGGGCTACAGATGGAGCTGCCCATCAGTCCTGCGCTGCACGCGGGCACTTCTCAGCACTTGGGCAGTGGATGGGACTGGGCGCTGCTGAGCAGGGCAAGGGGTGTTCTCGCAGGTCCTGAGCCCTGCCCTGCGGGGAGGCAGCTGACGCCAGGGAGAACTCGAGCACAGCACAGGCGGCCGGCAGTGCTGGGGGACCCAGCGCACCCTCCGCAGCTGCTGGCCTGGGTGCTAAGCCCCTCACTGCCTGGGGCTGGCGATGCTGGCTGGCCACTCCAAGTGCAGGCCCCCGCCCCGCCGCCAGCCCGCACCCACCTGGAACTCACACTCGCCAGCGAGCGCGCAGGCAGCCCGTTACCGCCCGCACCTCTCCCTGTACACCTCCCTGCAAGCAAGCAGAGGGAGCCAGCTCCAGGTCTCGGCCAACCCAGAGAGAGGCTACCACAGTGCAGTGGCGGGCTGAAGGGCTCCTGAAGCGCCTCCAGAGTGGACGCCAAGGCTGAGGAGGCGCTGAGAGCGAGCGAGGGCTGCTAGCACGTTGTCACCTCTCATTATCTCCTGAAAGCAATCTCTGGGCACACTGATAAGTTTTATCCTTTACCAAGTGAAAAGTTTGGTGAAGAATTTTAAGGACTTTCCATTGTCTAGGAGGTGACGAGTGGAGTTTGCCATTCTCTCGCTGTCGCCATCCTGAAGGCTGGAAAATGTACCTCCGAGAAGTGGCCCACTCTGTCTCTTCAGAGGAGTACTGAGGTTTAATTGCTGTTATGGAGCCTTCCCAGACTAGGGGGCTTTAAGAGTGTTGATGCCTTGAAGCTTTCTTGCTGCTGACTTGGCTGCCTGATCAGCTAACTTGTTTCCTTCAGCTGTTTCATCAGTTTCCTGCTAATGGCCCTTACAATGCATCACTGCTACCTCTAGAGAAAGGAAAACCGAGGATAATAACCTGTTAACTTCCTGATTGTATTTTATAGGGTACCTATTAGCAGTTAGAAAGTGCCTGTCCTTCCAGATGGCAGCATGAGCGTGGAGAACTTAGAATCAGTGTAAACCTTAGTTACATTTCCCTTGCTTAATTCAAGTGCTCTTGTAAGAGCTGTCAGCTCAGCTAGTTGAGCACTTTTGCCTGGAGAGAGAGGTGCACTTTCAATAACATTATTCAGAGTGACTACTGCATATCCTGCCTACTCTCTCCTTGTTCCACAAAGAAACTCTCATCCATGAAGAGGGTTCAGTCTGGATTTTCTAGGGGAGTCTCCGTGAGATCCTTACTGGCTGCGTAGGTCTGTACCATAATTTGTTCACCATCATGTTCAGATTCCCCAGTTTCCTCGGGGAGGAAAATGGCTGGATTTAGGTGACAGCAGGTTCTTAGCTGAACTGCTGACCCTGCTAACAGCAGAGCCTGATATTTAAGGAGCCGGCTGTCTGTTACCCAAAGGCTTCCCCTAGAGGACAGCAATCCTTCTACATTATGTGGGGTGTAAACTGTTAAGCCATTTCCCAGGGTTAATTTGGTGGCTTCTGCTACCAGTAGGGCCACTGCTGTGTCTGCTCAAAGACATGCTGGTTATCCCTTGGCTATCAAATCAAGCTCCTTACTCAGGTAGTCCACTGGCTATTGAGCTGGTGGTCCCGGGCTGGAGCTAAATCTCCCAGGGCCATTCCCTTCCTCTCTGATACGTAAAAGATTGAGGGCCCTCCTCAGGGAAGGCTGAGGGCTGGTGCCTTAAGTAGAGCTTGCTTCAGTTGGTTAAAGCCCTTTGGGGCTTCAGTTTCCAAGGTCAGGAAGTGAGTTGTAGCTGCTTGAGTTTCTTTCATGAGCTGACATAGAGGTCAGGCTATCTCACCATAGCCAGGTATCCGTAGTCTGCAATATCAGGTAATGCTTAAAAATCCCCTTAGTTGCCTGAGGGTCTTGGGGAGGGGGAAGGAAGAAATGGGTTTAACCCTTTCTTTCTCTAATGCCCTGGTTTCCTCAGACAGCACTAAACTCAGGTACTTTACTAAAGTCTGGCAAAGCTGGGCCTTAGATTTTGAAATCTTGTATCCTCTGTCAGCTAAGAAATTAAGGAGAGCTCCAGTGCCTTCCTGGGAATCTTCCTCACTTGGGGCACAGAGCAGAAGGTCATCTACATATTACAAGACCCTGGCCTGAGGACAGGAAAACTCAGAGAGGTCCTTTGACAGTGTCTGTCCAAACAAGTGAGGATTGTCTTGAAATTCCTGAGGCAGCACCATCCACGTTCACTGGGAAGTTTGGTCAGAGGGATCCTCAAAGGCAAACAGGTATTGAGAGTCAGGATGTAACAGTGTGCAGAAAAAGGCATCCTTTAAATCTAGGACTGTAAACCATTTTGTTCCCTCAGGTATTTGGGTTACCAAGGTGTAGGGATTAGGAATTACCAGATGAATTGGGAGTATGGCTTCATTAATGAGGCAGAGGTCCTGAACTAGTCTCCATTCCCCATTGGGTTTTTGCACTCTTAGTATCGGGGAATTTCAAGGACTGTTACAGGCTTTGCCTTTTCATGTTATTATTATGATTTCTAGCCCTTTCCTAGCCTCTGGGGTTAGGGGATATTGTCTCTGGTTAGGAAAAGAAGTGGATTTTTTAAGGTGGATCTAAACTGGCCTAGCAGTTTTAGCTCGACCTGTTCTTTCTTGAGTTGCCCACACTTCTGGATTAATATTGGCTTCCATTAGGGGAAGACAAAAAGTCTGTCCTGGGGCCATGAGGATGCTGGTCCCTATGCAGGCTAAAATGTCTCTACCTAATAAAGGAGTGTGACTTTCAGGCATGATAAAAAAAAAAAGCATGTGTAAATAACACGCTCCCCCAACTACAACTAAGGGGTTGAGAGAAAAAATCATGTTAGAGTCTTTCCTGTAACACCCACCATGGTTGTGCTATGGGAAGAGGGGAGGCCTAGATTGGAGAGGAGAACAGAAAGACTGGCTCCAGTGTCTTGGAGGAGGTCCACCCTCCTCCCTTCAATTTCCAGAATCACCCAGGGCTTCTGAGCAGTAATGGCAGCTTCTGTAGTTTTCTTCTAATATCAGGAGCTGCCTGGGTAATAAACTTGTCCTTTAGAATGAGTTGTCCCTCAACTGAATCAGGGGACAAAGAGGTGTGTTTTACTAGTGCCTCTCTCAGCCTTTCCATGGGGGCTGAGGGACTGTCATCTGGCTTGTGGTCTATTGTGGACAACTTAGAGTAATTCAGTGGTTTGGCTCTAGTTCTTCTAATGCCCTCTACTATGCACATTAAAAGGTGTTTCCTTTTCCATTAATCTATGGGGTCACAGGGATTCCAATCAGGATTGTCAAGAGGTATAGCCTCTCTTCATATGGGGAATGGTTGTTCTGTTATTTCCTCTCCTTCTATATCTCCCCTTTTCCTTTGTGGGCTACTATAAGAGATATGTTGTTCATCTCCGAACTTCTCTGCTGCCTGCAGCGCTGCCTCTTTCTCAGCTGCAGTGAGGGTTTGGCTTAGAAACAGCATAACATCCTTCCATGTGAGGTCAAACACTTGAGCTAAATTTTGGAAGGCCTCTATATACCAACAGGCTCATCAGAAAATTGGCCCAAGTCTCCCTTTATTTGCCTAACGTCCTGTAATGAGAAGGGAACTTGCACCCTACTGGTGCCCCTTCCATCTGGCACTTTTTTGTAGGGGTCAAAGTGCAGACGGGGCAGTGGAGAGCTTTGGAGATGGGGGAGCTGGAGGAGCCAGAGGAGCCAATGGCACAGCCACAGGGCACCCGGGATAAGGGGGACAGGAAGAACTGGTGGGGGCGCGGTGGCTCAAGCCTGTAATCCCAGCACTTTGGGAGGCCGAGACGGGCGGATCACGAGGTCAGGAGATCGAGGCCATCCTGGCTAACACGGTGAAACCCCGTCTCTACTAAAAATACAAGAAAATTAGCCGGGCGAGGTGGCGGGCGCCTGTAGTCCCAGCTACTCGGGAGGCTGAGGCAGGAGAATGGCGGGAACCCAGGGGGGCGGAGCTTGCAGTGAGCCAAGATCGCGCTACTGCACTCCAGCCTGGGGCACAGAGCAAGACTCCGTCTCAAAAAAAAAAAAAAAAAAAAGTTGCCTCCAGTGGCTCCTTAAAAACTTGCTTTTTTGACTTAGGGGAACTACTTGCTACAGACTTGCCCAGTATGGCTACCAAGAGGGCTTAGTCGATTATGCAATGCTTGCAAAGGTCTGAGTTGTCTCGCAGGGCAAAGAAAGCCTGTACATAGAGGAGCTTGGGCCACTTGCCCTCCCATCTACAAACAAGATCTAATTGTTGGATAAGATTAAAACCAAGGCTCCTTCAGCCGGCCAGGTCCGTTTATTTCCAAGATTTCCATCAAATGAGCCACTTTTTCTTCAAAGTCTCAAGGTCAAAGGAGTTCCAGTGCTTCAGAATGTACTCCAGAGGGTGCAGGCCAAAGATGGCTTGTTACCTACCCATTTAGAAAAGAGACAAGAGAAGAGGCATCCCTTAGTCTGCTTGTTCTTTTCAGTGTGACTCAGGGTGGAGGGGAAAGACAGGGGGAGCATCACCCCAACTGTTCTCCTTCCTTGGTTCCTGGGTCTTGGCACTGTATGTGCCAGCCGTGGTTGCAGGTATGACCCTCAAACCATGGTACCAGAGGAGCTAAACAATGGGGCTAGTCATGCTACTATCCCATGTGACCTTAGTCCTCTACTTGGTGATTACCCTTTGACCTCCTAGACTTGTGTGGTCTGCCCGACTTCTTGATGGATGGGTCTTGAGAGAGACTATGTAACAACTGCATTTGGGCATGGCCCCTTAATGGAGGGAGTATACTGGATTGAGCTTTATAATCTGCTGTTAAGGACCAGATTAGAGAATTTGTTTTTAGGTAGTGGTTCCAGTTAACTTTGAGACACAAAATCCCCTTTCTGTTTAGATGCCATTCTAGTTGTAGGCAGAATAGGTGTCTTAAGAGAACATAAGGGTCAAATGGTGGCCCTCCTGCTAATGGAGAGAGTATTGAGATTAAAATTTCGTTTTGGAGGACATTTTTCCCCTCACTACTGAAAGCAGAGTTCTCCCCCCTGCAGAGGGGGGCATAAAGTTTGGTCTCCAGCAGAGGGACACAAAACGGAGAAGAACTGGAAAATCTTCCTGTCTGTAGAAAATCACAAAACCAGCAATCCCTTGATCTACGTTCCTGGTTTCTAAGGTGGTTGCTAAGCCTGCCTAATTGAATTATTTTCCAGGGCTGTAAAAACTCCTGCTGCGTTGCATACAGAGAGGGAATGGGAGACGTGGTAACAGCAGAAAGGAAAGGAGGAAAGTATGATTTGCAGTAGGAAAGCTTGGAGATCCTGTGGCCGACACCTGATTGGGCAGTTGGGGGCTGGGGTCAGTCCAGAAGCCTTTAGATTGTACCAGGGTATAGCCCTGACCAGAAATTTTCAGTTGCTCCAGGACCTCTCCCAGCCCCACACGATGGCCAGGTTCTCCATGAAAGGAAACTGGTTTGGAACAGAGCCAACATACCCAGCACCTGGAGGACACTGGGAGAATGACTATCTCCTCCCCAACAAGCCTCTCCTGGGAGTCTTCAAGACCAGCAACTTGCCCTGGTGGCTCCTTAATCAGCTGTCAAATGTGTGGGATTTTGATAGTTGAGAGAATAAAAACTGAGGCTGAGAAGCCAGGGAAATCAAAGTATAGAGTCCGCTCCTATATTCACCCTTCCAATAAATTTACCTTCAATCCCGGATGGCTCCCCAAGTATAATATGGCCTCATTGTCTGGGGCAAATACCAAGGTTCTTAGTCTCACAGCTAAGGAAATCAAGAGCATGGACGCATACACACAGAGAGTGAGACTGGAGCAGGAGTTTATTAGGCAAAAGAGAAGAACAGCTCTGTCACAGAGAGGGATCCCAAACGGGTTGCCAAGTTGTAGTAAAAAATGTCAGTGTTTTATAAATGGGCTAGTGAGGAGAGTGTGTCTTATCTTCCTAGGGTTGGAAGAACTGGTTAGGACCAGGTGTGCTATCTGCATAGAGGAGCAGGGTCTCTATCAGCCCCCACCCCATTCTTTGATCATGTAGCTACACTCTTAGTTTATGCTGCTCTGTGCTGTTTGTCTGTGTGTGCTAAAAGGGAGGGAAGAGTGTCTGTTCCCCTATTCCCAGGCACCTTCTTGCAGCTGCAGGTATCTCCCCTGTGCATACTTCTAGCTTCCCTATCTTAGTATGCCTAAAGAAAGGGAAAGAGATATGAAGGCCCACTGTTTTTACTGGGGCCCATCGTATGTATGTGAAGTTTGATGGCTACCCAGGAAACTGTGCCTGAGTTGCTTATATCTGTTTTACAGCCTGATCTTCCAGGCTGCTTTGTTAGAAAGGAAGTGATTTCTTTGAACTGCTTGAGGTTAAAAAGGGAGCTATTTCTGGGCTGCTTTTTGTTAGAAGGAAAGTTTTCTGCGAGGGACTCACCCTAACTCTCTACCTAAATAATTTCTATCACCTATAACACAAAGATACTGGACCAAGTATACTCAGTTCCTTTTCCCAAGATCACCAGTCAGATAAGACACTCTCTTATCTGATAAGTCACTCTCTTACAAGCTGAGTGTGAGAGGAGACTAGTGGCAAGAGGTGCCTGGTCTCTAGTCTCTAATTTGTCCATACTCTCAAATGAGTCCAGTACAATGTCAGTCCATTTTGGGCTAAAATAGCACTTATACCTCTCTTTTCCCTACTACATTAGTTTGCAATGCAAACATATGACCTTGACTTAAATTAGTGCTACAATATATAAATAGGAATAGCAACTCACCTAAACAGTCACATAACCTGCTTTTAATCATTTTGTGACATATATTAGAAAAATCTCATCATTTTTATCTAGCAAGTGCATTGTAGGTTTCTTGAAATGTAAATGTGTCTATTCATGTCTTTTTAAACATCGAAATAGACTAAGATCAATCAGTGACATTTATAGAAATAATTTAAGTTTTACATGCTCCCTTTGAAATGTAATATGCCATTTAAATTGTAATTTAATTCAAGGTAAATTCTCTCATACTGTTAATAGTGATGCTGTAAGCTACACAGTCTTCCAAGGAGTTTTTCTGGATTTAGTCTTAGGTTAAAGACTTCAGGCTAAGTTTAGCAGCTGTCAAAAATAATGCAGTTGAGAGGAAGGCTGTGGAAGTAGGTAAATTCAGGACATTCTGAAACAAGCACTTAGAAAAATTACCATCTGTGAAACACTGACCTACTTCAAAGCTAGGCATAGGTACCACTATCATTATGTTGAAACACAGAAATATTTCCACCACACAAACAAAAGATTTTTATTTAAAAACAGTAGCCTTTCTTAGATATCATCAGATTAATTTAAATTGAAAGAATAACAGATATTATCTGTTAAGTCATATTCCTTACTCTGATTGTCCCATTGGGCTTTATTCTTTCTTTCATTCATCCATTCAAAAATCCTTATAGGATTTACTATGTTTCCAGGCACTTAGAGAAACAGCTGTGAATTAGACAAAGATCCTGGGCACCCGAGACTTAATTTTATGAAAAAACAGACAATAAAGAAGTAAATAAATATAATTTCATGTCAAGATAAATACTATTTAAATAAAACCAATAAGCAATAAGCTAGGAAGTGATTGGTATTGAGAGGTACACTTAGATTGGGTGATCTGGAAAGCTCTCTCTTAGGTGTAGTGAGTAGAAACAAAAATGAGTAAAAAGGCCACCTTAATATGAAGAGAAGAGAGAACAGAAAAGTGAAAATGTCACACGTGAAGAATTAACTTGGTGAGTTGAAGGGAGATCAGGACCAGTGATCATGTGGCACAAGGGTGGGGAAGACAGTAGGAGATAGAAACTGGAGAGGTAAGTAGTGGCCAGATCAGGTAGGGTGTTGAAAGCCAAAGCAGGGAGTCTGAATTTTATTCTAAGTGTGCTTACAAATATTTAGAGTTTTAAGCAGGAAATTACAATGATCTTATTTATTATCCCCTGTGAAGCTCTCCTATTTTCTCAGATTAACAAATTCATGGTTCTCTTTGAAAAGTCCAGCTCAAGTATCACACGCATTTTAAAGCCTTCTGTTATTGTCAGTGGGGCAGTGGTTGGGTGGTCCTGTTTAACCAGCTTTCCTAGAGGTGACTTCTCCCATTCAGTTCTATTCAAGTCAAAGATGGGTCTTAGAGATTGTCTCGTGCTTTGGTAGTTTATTCTGGCATCGCTCTTAAAAGATAGTGGGAAGAGTTTGGGGGCATAAACCAGATAGTCAGGGCTCAGATGATCAAGAGACTGCAATTAGAGACTGTTCTCAGTGTTGAGGGTTTCTTTCCCCTTTTTAAAACCTGTATTCGGTTGGTCAGTTATCAGATGTTTCTCTCATAAATGGAGTCGAAGCTATTCTTACAAGGGTAAGCTTTAAGGTTCATGAAAGTTGCATCTGTGCTGAAGTGGCCCTGTCTCCTGGAAATCACTGGAAATCTCCAGGGCCAGTTTGTATTACATTGATAAATACATTTAGTATCAGCCCCTCAAGGCACCTGAGTGAGCCTTATGGCTATAATTAATCTTAAAGCCATGATATATCTCTTATAGTATATTTTCCTTAATTTTCCAAGTATCTTCTCTGTCTTTAGTTTTCCTATTTCATACATCCTTGCATTTACATGGTACATTTCTCTACTATAGTACCTTCTGCTTGTTTTCAACTTGTCTTTTCTACTGAACTGTTAACTCCATAAGGGTAGGGACTGTGTTTATCTTCCTGAATGCATAGTTCATAATGCAGTGCACAGCATATACTAATGTTAAGAAAATGATTACTGAACGAACAAATGAGTATTTCAGTTATCCCATAACTTATGCTTCTGGTCTTAACATTTCTGTCAAATTCCAGTTTCTTATTTTTAAATGCCTACTGACATTTTTAATTGTCTAGTTTTTCTTCAGACTCAACTTCACATACCCACATCTCTTTCCAACTTCTCCATTTTATTTATTTGTTTATAGGGAGTTTCCCTCTTGTTGCCTAGGCTGGAGTGCAACAGCGCAATCTCAGCTCACTGCAGCCTCTGCCTCCTGAGTTTAAGCCATTCTCCTGCCTCAGCCTCCCAAGTAGCTGGGATTACAGGTGCCCGCCACCACGCCCAGCTAAGTTTTTGTATTTTTAGTAGAGATGGGGTTTCGCCATGTTGCCCAGACTGGTCTCAAACTCCTGGCCTCAGGTGATCTGCCCACCTCAGCCTCCCAAAGTGCTGGAAGTACAGGCGTGAGGCCCTGCACCTGGCCAACTTCTCCATTTTTATTGGTAATACCAACTTCTTTCTAATTTCCTTAACCAGAAATTTTAGAGTACTATTATTCTTCCCCTGATACTGGGGATTTCCTTTACTCTATTTCATTGACTGTAACCCTAGTTCAGATTTTTATCACCTAATTCCTGGAAAAATGCAACAAAGTGGCTGGCTGGGGAAAATTCTGGCTCAAATGTCTTCCCTTCTCAAATCTGTACTGCATGTCTTTGCAAGATCATTGCTAACGAAATATTTTATTCATGAGTTCACGCACTGTTCCATTTTCCAAGTATTTTTGCACACCGAGTGTATGACATGCCATTCCCTTATACAAAACCTTACTTAATGCTCACATGAACTAAATGAGAGTATTTTTATCTCCATTTTACAGATAAGTAAATTAGGATTTAGGTTAACTGCCCAAAGTCACAGTTACACCAATCACAAAATGGTAGTTCGTATTTTTATCTGTTTTACTGAAAAGGAAATTAAGATTTAAGTTACCTGCCCAAAGTCAGTTACACCAATCACACAATGGTAGAGCTGAGACCTGAACACAGGTCTTTTTAGTTGAAAACTCTGAGCTCTGCTTAATCATTATGCTAGTAAGTTAGTATACCAAGTTTAAAATCCTTCTTCACTTTGGAGGATTTCCATGATATAGCCTATCAATCCTACTTCCCATTTCTGCTACACTTGGATTTTCTGTTTCATATTTCAAATATTTTTCTAGTTATCTCCTGTGCATTGCCCTTCTCTACTTCAAGTAGATTGTAAGCTTCTTAAAACCTTACTCTTATTACACTTGCCTTGCATTTCTACGAAGATCTACTGTTGTAGATGGCACACTAAATTCTCAGTGAATAATTTATAAAATCTTTAGCACAGTCCTTGGCACATATGCCTGTTTAACAAATGGTACCAATGATTATTATTATTACGCAGGGACTGATGCATCACATTGAAGACCTAATAGGAAACCAGAAAATTCTGATCTCTTCCTCAGTCCTAAGAACTCTACTGGCTCTCTCCACAATTTAGACTAGTGGTTTCCAATATGAAGTGAGTACATTTCAGTCTCATAGTCTCATCTCTCTACCACGAAACAGTGCCAGGTATGATACAGACATCACCATAACATGAACAAGACAGCAAAATTTTGACCATTACTACTCTCTTTGAGGGTACCTTGGAGAAAGGAAAATGGAATAGTTGTAGTTACCTTTTTGAAAAAATGGTTAAAGTTCTATTTATTGACAGATGGATCTATTGATGGATAAACTTCATTTAACTTCAAGGCTTCCTGACTCAAGTTTCTCATGTACAGGACCTACCACTCTTCAGGCATCTCCCCTGTTGTATAATCCCTGCTTTATTTTGGCGCTTCAAGCAGAATTGGTTCACGTTCAGCAATAGGAAAATCCGACATTCGGGCCTTGAATGGTTCACATGAGGCAGTGAAAACGGTCGATTTAGAACCTCCCCCGCAACCACCCCCCCGGCCCTGACTTTTTCTTTTCTTTCTTTCTTTCTTTTTCTTTTTTTTTTTTGAGACGGAGTCTCGCTCTGTTGCCAGGCTGGAGTGCAGTGGCGCGGTCTTGGCTCACTGCAACCTCCGCCCGCTGGGTTCAAGCGATTCTCCTGCCTCACCCTCCCAAGTAGCTGGGATTACAGGCACGCGCCACCATGCCCAGTTAATTTTTGTATTTTTAGTAGAGATGGGGTTTGACCATATTGGCCAGGTTGGTCTGTGAACTCCTGACCTTATGATCCGCCCGCCTCGGCCTCCCAAAGTGCTGGGATTACAGGCGTCAGTCACCACTCCGCACCTCCTAGTCCTGATTTTCAAAGGTATGACGCATGTGTCCGGTTCCCGGGGAGGGCCGTCGAGCCGTCGCGCCGTCGCGCCACATACGTCACACGCTATTCGGAAAGCGTTGCTGCGTAAACGGCGGGGGCGTGTCTTTTGGCTCCTCCGCGTGTAGTTACCTGAGAAACGCGGGAAGTTGGGGCCACGGACTGTTGCTCCGGTTGCCTAAGTTGTTTTATTATTTCTGGAGAGAGCCGTAAGCTTGTGTGGGGTCTCAAATCCTGAGGCCGACTCGGTGTCCGGCGCGGTGTGATGGAGGTAGTGGAGGCCGCCGTCGCTCAGCTGGAAACTCTGAAATTCAATGGCACCGATTTCGGAGTTGGCGAAGGTCCGGCGGCGACGTCTCCGGGCTCTGCCCCTGCGCCAGGGACACAGCCGCCGCTACAGTCGTTTGAGGGGTCCCCGGACACTGGGCAGACCGTGGAGGTTAAGACTGCCGGTGAGCAGCCTCTGCAGGCCGTTCTGAACGCAGTAGCGGCCGGGACCCCAGCGTCGCAGCCGCAGCCGCAGCCGCCAGCTGAATCGCCGGCCTGCGGAGGCTGGGTCACCTCTCCAGGAGCCAGAGAGCCTGCGCGGGCCCCGAACTCCTTGGAGACCTCGGACTCGGATTCGGATTCGGACTCGGACAGGTCGGGTGCCTAAGGGACCCGGAGCTGTGGGGAAAGGTCTTGTATGACGGGCGGGGTGGCCGGGGCCTAGGAGCCTAGAGGTTGCCCGTGTGGGCCCTGGAGGGTGGGCAGGTCGCTGGTGCTCCGGTCTCATGTGTTGAAGTATTGGCTGCGACTGCCCTTTATTCGCTGCCTCTCAGAGCAGGTCGCGTTGTGAATCTGAACTTAGTACTCACTACTTTCCTAAATTTGGTAGCCTGAAGAGTTCTATGTATAGATCGTATCATTTTTAGTTAGACTTTAGAAAACCCGAGGATCTTAGGTTGTTTCCGTAACTACTCAGTTCAGGCTGTACTTTTGTGGTTATAATTGAGTTTTGTGTCAGATCTGATTTTTTTTTCCCATCACATGTAGGCTTTGTTTTTTGAACCACATACATTGAGGATCAGGAAAAGGATTATTTTGTGTGTTTCAGAGCTGGCTCTTGACGATTACGTTAATTTGTAGAATCGTTTTAGGGAACACGTGTTTATGAAAGTAGCTAAACAGTGTTATTTAGTAGTATTTTATGCTTCTTACGTTTTGCGAGAGCCTTTCCCCCTTGCCCCCACTTCTGTCTTTTAAATATGAAACCTCTGGGCTGGAGAGGACTCCAGCATGTGGGATGTTACTAAACAACACTGAACATTGTCTACAAATGGTTGAGTGTGTTGAGTGGGGTACTGAACAGGTTAACAAGATAGACACGTGTTGAGGAGGTGAGTAGTTTAGTTTTTAGGGAAGTCGTCAGCAGAGTGGGAGTGAAGAAGGCATGAAGGTAGGAGAAGGGTATGAAATGGACTGGGAGGGGGAAGTAACAACTGTAGACAAGGTTGGATTTCTTGGCAGTACTAAGATTGCGGTATAATCATCTTGTGGGATTTCAGAGCTCATTGTACTAGCAAAGAAAAGTAAATGGTAGATGATTTGGGGATACGTTTTGAAAGCAGAAGGGATATGGCTTCATAATAGGCCAACTTAGTGTCAGGATACTGCTTCTGACTCTTTGTGGGTGATGGCAGAGGATACCAAATATTTGAAGAAGTCAAAAGGGGTACAACTTTTTGCCAGTTAACAGCAGTGGAATCAAATGGAAACTGACGGGGAGAAGCAGGTTTCGTTAGTATAATGCACTTTTTCTTGTTTTAACTTGCTGTGAGTGTGGGTGTATAGGCCGTTCATACAAAAGTGGCCAATATGCCGTCAGAGATTGGACATGAAGTTTAGAGACGTCATAGCCTAAAATTTAGGCGTTAATGTCACATGGATGATGATTGAAATCATTAACATGTACGGGATTATCCATGAAAGTAGTACAGAAAGAAGAGAAAGTGAGGATGGAACCCTTAAAAATAATATATAAAAAGGCTTGAAGTGAGGAGCCAACAAACAAAATTTAAACTGAGACAGTGGTTGCTGTTAACGATAATTTCTGTGGAAGATAAGGACCAAATGAGTTTTCAGAAAGTAGAACGGTCTACATACTTTAGTAACTGAGGATTTCCCAAGTTGTCTGTAGACTGAGAAGAAACTCAAGCGATCTGGCAATTAAGCGATCTGGTTATTGGTGTCTAAGAGAGGTGCCATGCCCAGAATTCCCTTGTTTTAGTGATTTGTCACATGCTTGCTTATACTCACGTGTATGATATGTGAGACTATTGTAATAAGAGAAACTGGGTTATAGCAGAGGTTTGAAAATGTAAAGACTACTTTCCCAATACCATATCAGCTTTGAAGTGCTAGCTTTTGAATTAGAACAGCAGTAGTAAACATGTAGTAAAGTTGATATGTTTTAATTGAATCATCTTATTTTAATATTGTTAGAATAAGCAATAATAAACATGTATTAAAGTTGATATTTCTTAATTGAATAATCTTATTTTAATACATAATAATACTGGACTTTTTTTTTTAACTGTTTTCTTCTCTACAGTGAAACAGATTCAGATAGTTCAAGCTCATCGTCTTCCTCCTCCTCTTCCTCATCGTCATCTTCTTCCTCTTGTATATCACTTCCTCCAGTGCTGTCAGATGGAGATGATGACTTACAAGTTGAGAAGGAAAATAAGAATTTTCCTCTTAAAACAAAAGATGAATTACTTCTTAATGTAAGTACTTAGATGTATTAAGTTTAGTTGGCATGTTTTAAAACATATTCTGGTACCGATATTGTTCTAATTTTGCCTGTATCTGCTCCATAAATTTGAAGTTCATTCTCAGCCTAACCGGCATGCTTTTGGCATGCCTTGGCTTTCTTATATAAAAGAGTAGTGATCTGTATAATTTCTTAGGTTACCTCTAACTCTGCTGACATTTGATAATTTTTCCGATTGTGGCTCAACTTCAGCTTTGAACTTTACATTTCTTACATTTCCTAGAAAAAGATATTTCTTATGTCGATTTGCTTTCTGGTGGTTTTTTTTTTTTTTTTAGGGTCTGCAAGTCAGAAAATTTTGCCCAATAGCAATTGAAATTTTCTTTTTAATTGACTGCATTTAGAGAAGTAGAAGGTGAAATTCAAAGGGTTGAGTTTGTTAGGATTCCTATTGAAGTTTTTGGAGTGTTTTTATTATTACAGTTGGAGAAAACTTGTTAATTTTAGAATGGTTGTTTATTGGCACTTGATAGGTTTGGTTTGCAAAGTTAACTCTTGCAAGGTTATTTCCTCTTACGCTGTAAACATCCTTAGGAGGATGATGTTAGTCTGATTGAAACCTATAACCCAGGAGGAAAGTCTCAGAATTTCAGAACGTAGGCTATATTACCACTTTTTTTTTCCGCCTCTGCATATACTTTTAATTATTAATGCTTTAAAAATATTTAATGGTCACTAATCATAATTCTTATATAACATTTACATTGATGAGATAGTTTAATGCAAGATTTGAAAAAATAAAGCCTACAGGCACTCAGGAACCTTTTTCATGAATGGATTCTACCAGTCTTAATTATTTCTCTTTTTCTCTACTGATAACAAGAAATTCTTATCTCGCTTATGCTTTATACATTGAAAATCTTTGGATTTGTATGCAGCTTCATCAGTGGCTCATATTTTCGTGCTACAGATACGTTAATATTTCTTAGTGGTCTTTGTACACAAAGGCTACCAACATAACTATTTTCTGAAAGTAGGAGACTTGTTTCGTCTTTTTTGCTTGTCTCTTGATCACCTGTCTACATAAGTTCCTTTTAGACTATAATAACCAACAAAGAAAAGACCACAGTACTTCTGTAAATGCATGCATATTGTTGTCTTATCTTACTAGATTTGGAATTCTTACCTTGGGAATTTCTTCAGATTTAATGCAAAGTCTTAGCGTATTTGTTTAGGTGTTTTTTTCTGAACAGAATGTCCCTGTTTTCATCAGGAAATCACAAAGGATTTGTGGCCACAGGGAGTCTAGGAACAAGTTCTTTGAGGACTGAGTTCATATGTGATCCTTGTAACTCCCATAGTACCCAGTGGAGTGCTTTACAGATAGTGAGTTCTCAGGCCAAAGTAATTTATGATTATAGAATGAGTGTAAGGCATTTTATATTTATTAATTCTTTAAGAAATTATTATAGCACACCTGCCATTTGCCAGGTGCTGTAAACAAGACCAATCCAGTTTCTGCTCTTGTAGTGTCTAATGGAGGGACACAGACAGTAAATAAAGTGGAGACAAACAAATTTAATTGCTAAAAGTGCTATTGTGTGAGTGTTATGTTTGCCTCAAAAGACAAAATTCCATTTGAATGTTGTTAGATTTTCCAACTTGGAATGATGGGTTGGTCTGTTCCTTTCTGAGACCATTTCAATGGATATTTGGGAATGATGGAAGAGGGAATTGTAGTCTTTATTTGGGAAACTTATTAGAAGTCCTTCAGACCACTGTGCTACTAGAGATAGGGAGAGGAATTGATGAGTTAGTTTCCCAGTCTGCACTAAATCTCTGGCTTATAGGTCTGAAGGAAGATATAAGGACTTCTTCAGGGTTT